AGATGCCACAGCAGGAAAGGCTGGTATCCAGAAAGGTTGTTGGAACTGTGGAAAGAACGGACATTTGAGGAGCCAGTGTAGGAAGAATATTACCAACAAGTCGGCCTCAAGGAGACCAGTAGTGGTCACGAAAGTCCCAACAGCTGGGTGTAAAATGCCAAGCACACACAGTGTCTATGTGACAGGAAAGCTGGATGGCCAAAGGTGCAATTTTGTCATAGACTCTGCGTCTCAGCAAACCCTTGTGAGCATCAAGGTGTTAGATCATGAAGGAGTACCAGAAGCCATACAGAAGCTTTATGGTGTGACGGGACATTCTTCAAGGTTGTGGGGACCAGTGTGGGTAACTATCGAGCTCATGGACATAAAGGACAGACAGGAAGTATACTTGGCTGATATTGAAGACGAATGCATATTAGGATTGGACTATATACTACCAAGGAAGTTTGTAATTGATTTTGATAAAATGACGTTTGGGAACAACAAAGGCCAAGTTCCGGTAACTGTTAAGAGAGAGGTTGAACTAATTACTTGTCATCAAGCTGAAGTCAAGCCTACTGAAAGAGTTGATGATGATGAAGTGGAACCAAATATAGATATCAAAGCAGAACAGGAGAAAGACCAGGATTTGAAGCGTATAATTGATTTCCTAAAAACAAGTGTTTTGCGCCCTGCTTGGGAGAAGGTGTCTAGTCTAAGCCCTGTGACAAAGATCTATTGGGCACAATGGGACCAGTTGAAACTTGAAGATTGTATTCTTCTCCGGAGATGGGAAACTACAGATGGGAAATTGACGACTTGGCAAACGGTTATACCGAGAAAGTTACGGGAAGTTGTGCTGCGTCAATCCCATGATAATTTAACACGAGGACATCTCGGGAATTAAGAAGACATTGAGTCACATACGACAAAGATTTTACTGAATAGGTATGAGGCGAGATGTGGAAGAATGGTGCAGGACTTGTAGTGATAAAAAGGGACCCAAGCATAAAGGACGCCCACCTTATGAAGAGTTGCCTGTGAATATGTCAGAGTTTGTGGAAGTGTTATTGGAAAGGATGGATGATATTCACCATCAAGTGCGTTCAAACTTGAATACGTCTGCTGATTCCATGAAGCCTATCTCAT